TGTTTAGTTCCCCTTTCAGTGCTTTTTGCTCTGCCCTGGGGTAAGGGAAATGCCTGGGATCAGGTGACTTCACCTCTACCTCAAATGGTGTGTGGGAAATGGGGTGAAACAGAAACCAGTAAGTTGGGTTTTTTTGAGGGTAAAAAGCCCAACCCAGCCTTGCCAGCCTGTAAAGAAGTCCTGAATGGGCACTACTTCCATCTGCAGCCAGGAACAAATATTTAGAGGGGGCTCCAGGTATTTTTTCCCAAGCCAGTTTCCCTCTGCAGCCTGCTTCCCCACCAGGAGAACTGAAGAGAGAAGTGGAAATGACCTCAAAGAAAGGCCAAGTGCTCCCCACCTCCCCAAAAATGGGAGAACAAAGGAGGAACTTCCATTATGGTAGTGGGTTGCCCAGGGACTGGCAGATCTCCAGCCACCCTGGGGAGATGCTGCCCTGCAGCACATCCCTCCTGGCTGCAGCCTGCTGGGAAGATGGATCCCCCTCCACAACTCAAAGACGTTGCTGTAATAACCTGTGTGGTCTGGAGGTGTCAGTGTCCAGCACCATTCCATGGACCAGCTCCCAGGCACAGGCACAGCTCCTGGTACACCCCTTCATGCAGACGGAAGCTCATACCAAGAGCAAACTGACATCCATGGCTCCCTGTGTTCCACAGCAAGAGCTGCTCTAAACACAGCTGTGCCGAGCCTCCAGCCCGGGATCTTTAGAGAAATCACTTCTTTTTGCCCATTTTGAAAGGAAAAACCAGCATTTTCACCACGACATCTGCTGAAGCTCCTGAAGTGTAAGCCATGTGATGGAGCCAGCCTCCTGGCTCTGCTTCTCCAGAATCTCCATCTTCCCCCAGCCATCTTTTTACCATCTTGTTTTTTTCCTAAGAGGAAATCCAGACAGATCTCTCTTCTGTACTACCCCATGTAGGATGATTTGGCCAACAGAACCTGCAGTTTTGACGAGCCCAAGCAAGTACCAGCTGGATTCACACCCTTCCTACCGCCTCTGGCTCCTCTCCCTTCGGTTTTCCTCCCATTTTTCCCGCTGGCTTTATTAGCACCCGGGAACTGATGTGTCACCTCGGGCAGCTTGAGTTTACAGCACTGAGCTCTTGTTCCAGAGCATCAACAGCCCTTTTTCCAGTCCCACCAGTCTCTCAAGTACTTGGGCACAGCACAGATGCTTGCAACCATGCAGCAAAGAGCATAGTAGGAACACCAGAGCTGTTAGTGAACTAGGGGAAAGAAAGGATTGGGGTGTCACTGAGAAATGTCTCTTTTCCTGCAGGAATTGTGATAAAGAGGAGAGCATAAAGCACAAAGCTGTGGTCCTGAGAGCAAGTAGGACACACAGCCTCATGGCTGCTCTGCTCAGGGTGAAAACCACTGCAATGATCAGCATGAGCAGGGCCCGAGCTGCAAGGTGGGACTCAGAAACCTGCTCCCCACCTCCCACTTGCTGGACTCCTTCCTTCAGGGAGGTCTGGTTTGGTCAAGGAAGCTTTTGGCCTTAAAATCTGATGATGCCAGTAGGTGACCCCAGCCCTGTTGTGATGTGTTGGGAGTTAGATCCTGCATGGAGGGATCAAACTGGGAAAGAGACCTTATAACAGACTTCTGATACCTAAAGAGTCCAACAAGAGACCTGGAGAGGGGCTTTGGACAAGGGCCTGGAGGGACAGGCCAAGGGGAATGGCTTGAACCTGCCAGAGGGGAGACTGAGATGAGCTCTGAGGCAGAAGCTCTTCCCTGTGAGGGTGCTGAGGTGCTGGCACAGGGTGCCCAGAGAAGCTGTGGCTGCCCCATCCCTGGCAGTGTTCAAGGCCAGGTTGGACACAGGGGCTTGGAGCAACCTGCTCTAGTGGAAGGTGTCCCTGCCCGTGGCAGGGGGTTGAGACTGGGTGATGTTTAAGGTCCCTTCAGCCCAAACTAGTCTGGGATGCCATGAGAAGTTCAGCCTCTCGCAGCCTCAAAGCCTGTCTCGGCCGCCCCAAACCCATGAACAAGCTCCATTTCCAGCTCACTCTGGAGGTTCCAGCATGCTCCACGGCAGCACCTCTCTCTTTAGGCTTCTCCTGCCTTTTCCCCCACTGATCCCCTTCCAACACCTTCCAGGCAGCCAGCCCTGCTCTGAGCGTTCCTGGTTCCTCCTCCTGCCCAGGCTCAGCCCTCAGCAAACGTCTCTGCCCTCGGGGCACGGCTGAGCCCGGAGTAAAGCAAATACCACCCAGGATCAGGCAAGCCCACGGCAGGAGCTGGCACGGGAGTGAATGATTCACCTCCTGCCTGCTTTGCCTTCACCTCTGCCTCCCGAGAGCCAAACACCCACCAGGGCAAACACCATCTCTCCGAGCCGACCACAAGCAGCTTTAACCCCAGCATCCCACTGCCACAGCACTAGCTGGGGTTGTCCCCTCTGTGGTGGCCAAGCCCCCCCAAGGCGCACCCCCAGCCTGGTCTCTCATTACAAGTACACAAGTACAAGAGCCAAAATATATCCCTTTTGGATGGTTAAATCACCTTTAACAGCATCTTATATGGAATCCATGGGCTGTGCTCCCCTCCCTGCTTTC